CTGCCCCACCCCCCAGCTTGGAGCCTCCTCCTGCACTCTAACCCCCTCATCCCTGGCCCCACCCCAGAGCCCGCACCCCCAGCTGGAGCCCTCACCCCCCCACACCACAACCCCCTGTCCCAGCCCAGTGAAAGTGAGTGAGGGTGGGGGAGAGCGAGCCACCGAGGGAGGGGGAATGTAGTGAGTGGGGGGCGGGGCCTCAGGGAAGGGGGTGGGACTAGGGTGTTCGGTTTTGTGCGATTAGAAAGTTGGCAACCCTACTGCTGGGGGACAGACACTGCAGCAGCAAGGAACTGTTCACATCCCCCTGGTGGCATGAGTGAGGGGCCTGGGAACTAGAAAGTAAACTGAGGCTGCCCACTGCTTCCCCTCCTCCCTTCCATCTCCCACACCCCCCATTCCCCTCCTTCCCGCATCTCCCCCATCCCGGCCCTGCCATTCGCCCCCAACCTTCCTCCTCACATGTGCTGTCCGCATGTGGTTTGGACGCAGACATGGTCAGGTGGCCGTGTACAACGAGCTAGGCGGCTGGTACCCACCTCGGCAGGGCACAGGATGGATTCCACCAGGAGCTCAATCAGGGGCTGGTAGTACATGGAGGGCAGGATCCTGTCCTCAGCCAGTCGGACTTTCAGCCGCAGAGCCCCCAGCTTTCCTCTGCAACGACACCCGAGACACCACCCACGTGGGCAAGCGTGCGTGGAATAAGTGCAAACCAGCACGTGCAACCTGGTTCTAGCCAGCTCAGTCCTCCGGCACAGCAACCAGAACCTACAGCTAGTACCAACAAAACCCCAGAGCCAAGAACTCCCAAGATGAGCCTGATCCTCCTTAACCTCTCCCCCCTGCTGCTCTCCTTTCCTTCCAGCCCAGTGGCACGGGGTAAAACCTCAGCCTCCCCCGGCAGGGCTGTGCCTATTGTGATCAGCGCCCCCCCCAGCACCACCCCGTGGCACCGGTGTGCTCCTGTCCCACCACTGCTCTGCCTCGGCACGGGCCCTGTGCTTGAATCACGCTGGCGTCAGCGCATCCAGCGACCTTTCCAGCCATCCGGCCAAGCCTTCCAAGCTCCTATTTCAAGGCAGGCTGAATGGCAATACGGGGAGCGGTCACCCAGAGCTGGAATATTGCAGCACATTACAGACATGGGCAGTAGGTTCTATGGGGACCAGGAATACTCTTGGTGCCCAGGCACCTTGGCCCTGCCTTCCACCCCCGGGCGCCCCCGCACGGCCCCCAGGCCATTTAATACAGCCCAGGGCACCCACTCACCACCAGCAGCCCCCGCGCGCAGCCCCCAGGCCATTTAATACAGCCCAGGGCACCCACTCACCACTGGAAGCGCAGCGGGGCTGAGCGGCTTCCTACCTGCTCGCTCCATGTGGCTGCCAGCCCCTCTGTGGCCCCTGGGTGGGGTGTCTCGCCCCAAGCGCCCCTGCGGCCAATGGGAAGCTGCGGGGGCAGTGGCTGGGGTAGCAGCGTGCCAAGACCCCCAGCCTGCCCTGCCTAGGAACCCCAGATAAGCGCTGCACCCCCCCACTCCCTCCCAGATCCTGCACCCCCACCCCTTTCCCACACACCCCTTCTGCCCCCAAACTCCATCCCAGAGCCTGCACCCCCTCCCTCCGCACCCCGTCCCACCCTCACACCCCCTCCTGCACCCAAATGCCCTCCCAGAGCCTGCACCCCTCACCGCTCCTACCTTGCCCCTTGCCCCAGCCCAGAGCCTACACCTAAACTCTGTTCCAGAGCCTGCACCCCCTCCCTCCACCCGCTCCCATCCCCAAACTCCCTCCCAGAGCCTGCACCCCCAGCCCGGAGTCTGAACCCAAACTCTGTCCCAGAGCCTGCACACCTCATCCCCTGCCCTAGCCCAGAGCCTGCACCCAGCACCCAAACTCCATCCCAGAGCCTGCACTCCACCACCTTCCCACACACCTTCTCCTGCCCCCAAACTCCATCCCAGAGCCTGCACCCCACCACCTTCCCACAAACCCTCTCCTGCCCCCAAACTCCATCCCAGAGCTTGCACCCAAACTCCATCCCAGAGCCTGCACCCCACCGCCTTCCCCCACACCCTCTCCTGCCCCCAAACTCCATCCCAGAGCCTGCACCCCACCGCCTTCCCACACACCCTCTCCTGCCCCAGGCTCTGTCTCAGAGCCTGCACCCTAGATCCCCTCCCCCACCCAAACTCCCTCCCAGAGCCCAACCTCTCGCCTGTCCTGCACCCAAACTCCCTCCGAGCCTGCACCCCAATCCCCTGCCCCAGCCCAGGGCCTGCACCCCAGACCTCCTCCCCCCACCCAAACTCCCTCCCGGAGCCTTAGTCAGGTTGGGGGCGGAGTATGGGGGCAGCGGGCTCTGGGCGTTCTGGGCACCACCAAAATTTCTACAAACCTGCTGCCCCGATTACAGAGTATCCCTCTGCTGCCCCAGTGCCTCCTGTGCCTGATCCACGCCCAGACTCAAAGCCCCCAGTGTCCACGGGCTCATCCTAGAGCTCGCGAGGGCCTGTGGGTGCTGGGAGGGAAGCGAGAGCCCCAGTACTCTAGTTCTGGGCACTTTGCTTTTGTGTTACTATAGATCAAGGGACCCGGGCAGGGAATAAAATGGCCATGTTAACTCCATTTAAAGACAGCCCCTTAACCCCTTCAGCACCCTGCAGATCTCAGTGCACATACGGGAAGGTGGCAAGGGGTGACCTGGTGGATGAACAAACCTCTCCCGACTGCCTTTGAGGAAGGGCAGCATCACTAAACCTCCTTTTTCAGTTGGGGAAACTGAGGCACAGAGCAGGGGCCTGACATGCAAGTTAATAACAGAGCTGGGAATAGAACACAGGAATCCTGAACCCCAGCCCCCCGACCTAAGCACTAGACGCACCACCCCCCCATGTTGGAAATGGAACCCAGGAGTCCTGAACCCCCGCCCCCTGACCTAAGCACTAGACACACCACCCCCCACGTTGGAAATAGAACCCAGGAGTCCTGACTCCCAGCGCCTGGTGTAACCACTGCTCCACACTCCCCTCCCAGAGCTGGGACTAGGAGCCGTGCTCATGCCTTCTCTTCCCTCCAGGGGTTACTGATGGCCCCTAGCTCAAGGCTGACTGTTTACCCAGCATCCTCCTCAGCAGTGGGGAAGGGCAGGAGCCTGAACCAGCCTTTGGCAGGGGATCTCTGAAGGGCGTCCAGAGAGAACTCAACCTGTGTGGGACACAAAGAGAGGGACAGTAAGGGGGCAGGAGCTGCCAGCAGGGGGCAGTACTGCAGTGTCGGGGGAACCTCTTCCCATTGTCCCAGCCCCTGGCGATATAGGGGGGAAACTCCAGCCCTCACATTGGCTGCCAGTGTGGTTCATCCCCAGGCCGTTTCCCTGCCAGACTCTGAGAGCACTTCCAGCTTCACGCTGCAGTGACTCTGCCCCAGAACCCCTCCAGCCCCGTGCTCCAGCCCCAGACCCCTCTGGGGGCCGATGTGCTCCAGCCCCGGGCCCCTCTGCCGAGCCGACGTGCTCCAGCCCTGGAAGCAGGAGGCTGAATGGATTCCACCCTCCACTTATACTCCCCCTACCCCACAGCACCAAAACAGGGGATCCCCAAATTAAAACGGGGCTTGTTTACCGGGTCAGGCATGCAGATCTCCCTGCAGCGGCTCCTGGGGCTGAAGGGACCTAAACCCAGCAAGACGCACAGTAGGGCCCAGACACAGGCCGAGGGCTCCCCGCCTGGCACCAGGCTCTACACCACCTTCCCTTGCTGAGCTGCTCAGATACCTAGAAACCGCGGCTGCCAGCCGCAAACTGCTCCATGCCCCTTGGAGTCTGTCTACACCTGGCAAATGTGATAGATCCCCTAGCCTCTTTGGGGGCCCAGGCACCAGAGGGGGCAGGAGGGCAGAGGCACCCACAAGCGCAAGCACACGCACCAAGAACAGTTGCAAAACCTTTTCCTTTCACAAAGCTGTTAAGCCCTGTGACGTTATTGACCATATAGATCATCGGTGCAACCACTGTTATATATTTGCAGCAAATATTGTACAAAGGTTGCCGTGTGAGGTGTCTATGGAAAGGTTATGATTTGCTGATTATGATCATGCTATCTGAATGGGTGTGTCATGTTTGTATTTGAAGTTATGAATATTGGCTATGTACTTGTATATCAATGTGTTTGATTCTAAGTAGCCTCAGTGAAGCATTTGGTCAGCTTCTTGAGAAGGGACTAGTCTCAGTAAGGGCCCAATCAAGAAACACTTAATTGACAATGGACTTTGGCAGACGCCAATCCACATCTGAGCTGTCCTGGGAACATTCAAACTAACATGTAAACAATGGCGTCGGCCTGTAAAGAACTGAGTCATGCATGGACATGTGACTTGCCCATGTGACGCCAACCTCCATCTTGCTATGATCTTGCACAGGAGAACCAAGGGGTTTCCACCCACAAGAGAAAGCCTATAAAAGGCAGCTGCATCTCCTCCATCTTATCTTCAATCCTGCTTCTTGCCTCTGGAGGGACTTTGCTACAAACTGAAGCTCTGAACAAAGGACTGAATGACCCATCCCAGTTGTGGATGTATTCCAGAGACTTGATTTGAACCTGCAGTTTATTCCATCACTACTACAAGCCTGAATCAAGAACTTTGCCATTACTGTATGTAATTGATTCCATTTAACCAATTCTAGCTCTAATCTATATATTTTTTTCCTTTTATGAATAAACCTTTAGATTTTAGATTCTAAAGGACTGGCAACAGCGTGATTTGTGAGTAAGATCTGACTTTTATATTGACCTGGGTCTGGGGCTTGGTTTGCTGGGATCGGGAGAACCTTTTACTGGGGTATTGGTTTTCATAACCATTCATCCCCATAACGAGTGGCACTGATGGTGATACTGGGAAACTGGAATGTCTAAGGGCATTGCTTGTGTGACTTGTGGCTAGTCAGTGGGGTAAAACCGAAGTCCTCTCTGTTGGGCTGGTTTGGTGCCTTGGTGTGCAAAGGAACCCCAACCTGGGGCTGTGACTGCCCTGCTCTGAGCAATTTGTCCTGAACTGACACTCTCAGAAGTGTAACGATGCTGCCTTTAGTGGGACAAGTCCTCTCTCCCACTTGCTTTGCCCGGCTCGTCTGGCAGGAGGCTGGCCCAAGCCTTGCTGAGCCACCTCCACCCCCCCCCCCCCCGGTCGGAATAGCAATCAGACAGGTTCTGCTTCCCCTGCCAGACAGAACCGCCGTGATGTGGGGATCAAGTGAACTGAGCAGCCGGTTCAGGTCCCAGCTGCCGGCTCGTTCTGGCTGGTGTCAGGACACAGTGTTACGCACCTTGCACATATCTCCAAGCTGTACCCTTCGCCTTCAATGATTCATGAGCATTTTCCTCTCTCTCTGACCTCTTCTCCTTGGACTTGATTCTCAGTCACCCCAAGGTCCCTTGTGCCACTCTGGCAGACTACACAGAGCATGGGGAGGGCCCCAGAGATGCCCCCTTGCTGGGGTAGAACTGGTGTAAGTGACCTGCTCTCAGCCCCCGGGCACAAGGGCAGATCAGGGCTCAGCGCTGCTCTCCAGCCATTCGCAGCGCCATGGGGGAGGGGGCATGGAAAGCGAAGCATGAGCTAGAGCAGCCCGGGGACAATGGTAATTTACACCAGAGGCCAGGCAGAATCCAGCAAGTGCAAGGAGGGCTTAGACCCAGCCTCCCACAGACACCCCGGCCTGTCCCCGGCCACGAGCGCAGCAACAGAGGAACTGAGAACCAGCCTCCCCCTGCATCAAACTGACCAGCTGAGAAAGGGAGCCGCTCTCCTTACAAGCCAGCAGGAGATTTGAGGCTGCAGCAGGCCTGTGTGCCACTGGCTTTCTCCCTCTTCATCCCCCACCCTGATCAGAGCCACCAGCCCCCACGCTGGAGGCACTGAGGAGATGGCCGGAGCTGCTCACCCATCCCAGGAAGTCGTTCTTCCCCACCATGTCCCAGTCCCACACCTCCACGCTCACACGGGACCCCTTGGGTTCCTTTCCGGGCACCCCCTCCTCCAGGTCAAACTCCAGCACCTCATCCCAGTGCGGGAAGCGAGTCTTCTTAATGATCTGCAAGGGGAGAGAGAAAGGTGGCATGTCAGAGAGGAACGGGGAGTCAGGTGGGGAAGATTTGTTCCAGCATGAACACACAGGGCTCCGGCAAAAGCCAAGAGCAATTGTAACCCACGCACCTCCTGGGTGTGGTGTTCTGGCCCATCTAGTGGCACCGAGACCACTTAGAGAGCGATTAATGAGTTTGTGCTACAGCTTTAACTAACAGCCACGTGGCTTTTAGCTCATGTGGTAGAGGCTCATGCATTTCGCTCCCGAGGTCCCAGGTTCGATGCCGCCGACTGGGACCTGTCAGCGTTCCACAATGTTGGGAACAAAAGCAAAGGCTGTTTGGTAAACACTTGGCTGGTGTGAAATGGGCCCATAAACTCAGCTGCGGGTAAAGCTGCTGCAGCAGCAAACGAGTGAGGCGAGCCAGTGTTTTCTTGCCAGAGAAGGCGTCCCTTCGAAACAAGAACTGCAGCATTCTTTAGTAATGGGCCAAACCGCACAGCTCCTGACGGGGCTCTGGGCACGCCAAGGTCAGTGCACCAATTTCCTTGCCACTGCATTGAGAGGCAAAGGACGGAGCAAGAGCACAAGGATGCCCCAGGCTTCCCATCCCCATAACACCTAATGCAGCTCAAGGGGGTCTGGGGTAGGCCACACTCCCGTGCAGCTTTGCATCTCTCCTGACCTACAGATATGTCTGGGAAGAGAGCTCTTCCCCATAGGGTGACCAGATGTCCCGGTTTTATAGGGACAGTCCTGAAATTTGGGGCTTTTTCTTATATAGGCTCCTATTACCCCCCACTCCCTGTCCTGATTTTTCACACTTGCTATCTGGTCAGCCTACTTCCCCCCCAGGTGTCAGCTGAGGGGCGGGGGCTGGCCCTAAGCCCTTTCCTTGCGCTTGCTGTGTGCAGGGAGGGGCTGCTGCAGGGCAGCATGTTCTCTCTGCTCCAAGGGCCCAGCCCAGCCCAAGTCACACGTGTCCTGCTCCCTTCATGGCTGTCTGATGGATTCAGGGCTCAGATCCTACAGTGATGGGTTGGAGATACACAGGCAGGCTTCCCACCCCTCTCTCAGCTATCACTAGCACACAACGCAAACCACCCGGAGTCCCAGTGAAAGAAGTGGGGGGGTCTGTCTGTCCCTCCCAGAGCTCCTCCTCTTGCGCCACTGGCATTGCAGCTAAAAGGAGCCCTGTCCTGTCCCCTGCCCCCATGCAGCCAGGCCAGAGGGAATGCTTCCGCCTGGGACGGTTCTACTCACAGCTGTCTCCAAAGCATGGCCATCACAGGACACTCGCGCAAAGGGGTCCGAGGTGCCGGAGATGTCCCGCGGGGCCAGGTCTCTGGGGGGAGAGGAAAAGAGGAGGAGGATGGGGGTGGGTTTCTGGGTGACTAGGGGATAGGGCAGAGGCAGGGGATGGTAGGGGCTGACTTGGCCTCCCCAGGGTGGCCAGGTGGCATTGTAAGCCCCGTTGTTGTTCTGTGTTTGGACAGCGCCCGGGACAGCTTCAAGCACTAACGCAACACAAACAACAGCCAGGACACAGGAGAAAATAAACCCTCTGAAAGGCCAGGAGGTTAAACCCGGAGGCGCTGATTGGGAGCTTTACAGACAAAATCCTCCCCCCTTCTCCCAGTCCCCAGTGCCGCATGCTCTGCCCTGCTCCTGCAGCATGGAAAGCGGCACAGTAAGGGCCCTCTCCTCCCCACGCAGAACACCAGCGAGCCGGTGCACAGGCTGGCTTTGCACTGGGAGATCCAGCTGCTCCATCACCTCTCAGACAGCGGCAGGAGCTGGAGTGGGCGGGGATGCACCCGAAAACTGCAGGGCTTCCCCACTCTGCATCTCACTCCTGCAGGGTGGAACTATGGAGTGGGATGGGGAGAAGCGGGGAAAACCGAAGGAGCTCTTGGAAAGCGCCTATGGAGTTGGAGAAGCCCCAGGACAGCCTGGCAGGGGCTCAGCATTTGGGGACATCCCAAGTGGGTGATCGAGGTGAGAGCAGAGAGCATTCCCCCAGGGAAAGAACAGGCCAGGAGAGCCAGAGCTCCCCTGCCTAAGCCCTGGGGAGCTGGGGGTGAAGGCTGAGAGGGGAAGGAAAAATGAACATGGCCCTTTAAGGGGAATACAGCCCACCCCTCAGAGCTCTCTTACTGCACCCCCCACGTCTTCTTCCCCCTCACCGTCTTTCCCCTCCACCCCCCGTCACACTCTCCCTGACTCCACCCGTCCCCCACACACATACCAGGGTCCCTTAGCCAACACTTTCTGTTCCCATGGCTACTCTCCAGGTTTAGTAGCATAGCCCCGTCCCCTGCTCAGGGGGGCACTGCCCCATGGCTGGGGCAAGTCACAGGCAGCAGAAGGGGCGAGTAAAGGGACACGAGTTCCAGTCCCGACCATGTTCTCTCGCCCCCCTGGAGAGGCGCACGGCCCCGCGGAGAGCCCTGCCTGGTGCTTTCATCATGAGCCAGCAGGGCCCCCGGCTAGCCCTCCTTGGGCCTCAGGAATGCCAGACACCGCAGACAGGGAAGGGACAGCAGCTCCCCTAGTTCCCTGGAGAACCGCTCTGGAACTCTCCTGCCCCACAAGAAGGGGGAAGGACTGACCCACCCCCTCCCACCTGCCCCTCTGCAGAAGAATGCTTGGAAGATGGAGCCTGCTGCATTGGCTCAGCCCATCTCCACTCCCTGAGCACTCTCCATGGCCACAGCGTTGCCTAGGAGCCTGTGCTGGTTGCTAGGATGCCTTCTCTGCATCGTGCTGCTGGCTGGCTCCAGTGCAATGGGGCCAGGCCCCTACGCTCCCTTACCGATCACTCTGGCCTGTGCCCCCAAAGCAGGGGGGCTGCAGCCAGAGCCACGTGACTGCACTCTTGTGTCCCCATGGAGGGAATCCCCATCCCGTGCCTAGCTCCATGTGCTGAGACCCAGAAGTCAGGAATCCTGGGGTCTATTCCTGGCTCTGCCACTGGTGACCTCAGACAAGTGATTTCACTTGTCTGTGCCTCAGTTTCCCCACCTGTAAAACAGGGATAATGATACTGATCTCCTTTGTAAAGCGCTTTGAGATCTAAGATTAGAAGCTCTAGATGAGAGCTAGGCATTATTAACACTCTTAGCACTACATGTAAGGGGTGTGGGGCTGGGACCTGAGCTATAAGGAATCACTAGGCTGTCAACAAAAAAGAGAGGGGCCTGGAATTGAAGATTAAAGCTACCAAGTCACTTTAGCAGTAACTGTGTTTGAAAAGGTCTGTGATGCAGCAGGTTAAGGATACTGGCCCTTTCCTGTTGGGACTCCTGGGTTCAAATCCTGCTGAAAAATAGTGGAGCAAATAATCAGTCAATTTGCAAACACTTAATAAGGTGATAAGTACCAGTTAACATGGACTCCTCAAGAACAAATTGTGTCAAACCATCCTAATAGCTTTCTGTGACAGGGTATCAAGTATCAGGGGGTAGCCCTGTTAGTCTGTATCTACAAAAACAACAAGGAGTCTGGTGGCACCTTAAAGACTAACAGATTCATTTGGGCATAAGCTTTCGTGAGTAAAAACCTCACTTCTTCGGATGCAACAGGGTACCAAGCCTTGTGGAGGGGGGGAGTGGTAGATGTGGTTTATCTTGACTCTAGTAAGGCTTTTGATACTGTCTTGCATGGCCTTTGTGACATTATGCCCCATATTCTTCACAGAGATATGCTTATGATATGAATATGGCATAAGTAAGATGTATTTTATGCAAGATGGGTCATGTGAGATATAATTGGAAAGGTTATGATGTACTGAATTTGATTATCCTATTTGTATGCATGTATCATTTCTGTATCTGAAATTGAGAATATTAACTCTGTATTAATTGCAAAAGTGTTTGCACCTGGGGAACACCCACCAGACAAAATGCAATCAGTCTGGCTGGTTAGTCAATAAACCATTAGGAAGGACAATAGATCTTTGAAGATGCGTGCTAATCTCCCCACCTTCCTGAGATGCTACTTTGACACTGCAGGGTTATGTAATCATGTGACCTGGTACTAGACACCATCGTGGACTGCTGGTATTTTTCCACTAGGAGGGGGATGGGGATCAAACTGGGAAACAAAGGATTCCCACCATATGTAAATCCTATTTAAGGCTGGGGAGTGAGTTAATCCACTGAATTCCAGCCCAAGGTGACTGCTGGAAACACCTACAACTGAACTGGGGAAGAACTGGACCCAAGCTAGAAGGGGTCTGGCCTGTGAAAGAAATATCTGGAGTTTTAAGTTGCAAGCAAGAGCAGTTTGTCCTTAAGAAATTCTGCAACCTGCCTAAAACAACACTTAAGGTGAGAAATTACTACTTGGAGCCAATTTCCTATCCCCTAGAAATGGAAGGTCATCGAGTCCAGCCCCCTGCCTTCACTAGCAGGACCAAGTACTGATTTTGCCCCAGATCCCTAAGTGGCTCTCTTAAGGATTGAACTCACAACCCTAGGTTTAGCAGTGCTCAAACCACTGAGCTATCCCCCCCTTTTGTGTATTAAGCCTAGCTTGCATGTTTATTGTATTTGCTCAGTAATCGTCTTTGATCTGTTTGTTATCCCTTCTAATCACTTAAAAGGTACCTTTTGTAGATAACAAACTTGGTTTTTGTTTATTCTATAACCAGTTTGTGTAATTCATAATGGGGGGAGGGGCAAAAACCACATTGAGGGAGTGGGCGGATTTCATGAGCTGTACAGATCTCTGTGCAACACAAGACAATATAATCTTGAGTTTGCACCACAATTGGGGGGTGCACTGGAGTGCTGGGCAATCCCTCAGCTGAGTCGAGAGAGAGAGAGTGTGTGTGTGTGCGCGCGCTGGAGGAGGCTTGAGGGCCGGGCACAGCAGGACAGGATGAGAGAGCCAAGGCTGGTGGAATGGGCGGGCTCAGTAGGACCCCAGTACATCAGGTGGCAACCTGGAAAGGGGGGGAACCCATCACAACCTTCTCAGAAACAAACTAGGGAAATACAACCTAGATGGAACTACTAAAAGGTGGGTGCATAACTGGTTGGAAAATCGTTCCCAGAAAGTAATCATCAGTGGTTCACAGTCAAGCTAGAAGGGCATGACGAGTAGGGTCCCGCAGGGATCACTTCTGGTTCTGTTCAATATCTTCATCAATGATTTAGATAATAGAGAGAGAGTATATAGACCGTACACTTAAAAAGTTTGCAGATGATACCAAGCTGGGAGAGGTTGCAAGTGCTTTGGAGGATAGGATTAAAATTCAAAATGATCTGGACAAACTGGAGAAATGGTCTGAAGTAAATAGGATAAAATTCAATAAGGACAAATGCAAAGTACTCCACTTAGGAAGGAACAATCAGTTGCACACATACAAAATGGGAAATGACTGCCTAGGAAGGAGTACTGCGGAAAGGGATCTGGGAGTCATAGTGGATCACAAGCTAAATCTGAGTCAACAGTGTAACGCTGTTGCAAAAAAAGCAAACATCATTCTGGGATGTATTAAGAGGTATGTTGTAAGCAAGACACCAGAAGTAATTCTTAATAATATAATACACCTATCTCATAGAGCTGGAAGGTCATCATGTCCAGCCCCCTGTCTTCACTAGCAGGACCAAGTACTGATTTTGCCCCAGATCCCTAAAGTAGCCCCCTCAAGGATTGAACTCACAACCCTGGGTTTAGCAGGCCAATGCTCAAACCACTGAGCTATCCCTCCCTCCTTTACACTGATAAATCCTCAACTGGAGTATTGTGTCCAATTCTGGGTGCTACATTTCAGGAAAGAGGTGGACAAATTGGAGAAAGTCCAGAGAAGAGCAACAAAAATGATTAAAGGTCTAGCAAGCATGACCTATGAGGGAAAATTTAAAAAAATGGGTTTGTTTAGTCTGGAGAAGAGAAGACTGAACGGGGGACATGATAACCGTTTTCATGCACATAAAAGGTTATTACGAGGCGGCGAAACATTTTTCTCGTTAACCTCTAAGGACAGGACAAGAAGCAATAAGGGCGGTTTAGTTTGGACATTAGGAAAAACTTCCTGTCAGGGTGGTTAAGCACTAGAATAAATTGCCTAGGGAGGTTGCTGGAATCTCCGTCATTGGAGATTTTTAAGAGCAGGTTAGACAAACACCTGTCAGGGATGGCCTAGATAATACTTAGTCCTGCCATGAGTGCAGGGGACTGGACTAGATGCCTCTCGAGGTCCCTTCCAGTCCTACAATTCTATTTCAAAGACTGTCATCACTTGGAGGTGGGATGCGTCTCAGCTTGGGGAGCAATGAACATCCAGCTGCATCAAGGGAAGTTTTTGCTCAACAGGCAACACCCCAGGGCTGGGAG